CGTTTTTAGATAATCTTCTAGTCAACATTCTCATTATGATGCCTGCACACTTTGTCTCTCAGGTCAATAAACAACAACCTTCTTACCGGGGCAATACCCGATGTCTTCCAGCTGCTTAATGGCTTGAACAACTTGTGAGTCTTCGTTTAACTCAATAGCCTCTTCGAAGTTAGAGTTTGATCGTCTTCTATTCTCAGGGACTTGTCGGGCAACAACTTGAGCGGTCAGCTGCCTCCCTCCATGGCGGATTTGTTCTCCCTTACTACATTGTGAGTTAATCTCTGTAAGAACTTATATTTCTCCATATCTTGCATTTACTGTGTGGTTATATACATATATAATTTTCGGTCTTCAGGCACTTGCAGAACAATCGACTTTCTGGGATGCTCGACGTTCTACAGGATCTTCCGTTGTCGGATTTGTACTATTCTCACTTCATTTATGATTCGAAAAAACTCCGTGCTTGTTTTATCATCACATTGAATCAAGGATTGTGTCGTTTTTCTGAAGTGAATGGTATTTTACTCTCTGTCATGCAGGAATATAGAGAACAACCTATTTTCTGGACCTATACCTGCAAAGTTGTTGGGCATTCCAAATTTCAGGTGAATTATACATTTTCATGATTTGTATCTTATTTTTCTCTTCGTTTCTAGTTAACTCGCTTTTACCGTGTCTTCGAGGTATTATATCCTATCAATTGCGTCGGTTTATGTATGCAGAAAAGATGGAAACCCTTTTAATACTACCATAATTCCATCTGCACCTGCTTTAGCCCCTTCACCATTTGCTGTGGCGCCTGTTACTGCGGGACGACCAACCAGACAGACGGGTGCGGGTCAGCCATTGTCATCAGGGAGTTCTGAATCCGATGGAGGAAGGAGTTTTTTCTCTGGTAAGCGGATCGTTTGGATTGTTATTATTGGTGCAGTAATATTAGTGGCATTGGGAGCTTGTATTCTGTTATCGGTATGCTTGAAAAGAAGAAGCAAGCATCGAGAAGAGATGAAGATGGTTCGTGAAAATGCTGATATGGCTTCTAAAGATAAGCCGAAACTCACGAAGCCTTCGGTTGAAGTTGATGACATGGAGAAAGGTAAAAACCCCATCTTTCTCTACTATGTTACTTCTTGTGTAGCGTTCCGTGAAAGCTGACTTTATAGACCTTGTTTTCGTTTTTTGAAGGTCGAAGGGAGACCACTCTTAAGCCAGTTGATAGAGACGGGATGAAGGATAGAATAATGGATTATACCTCCCCAAAGCTACATGAAAACCCATTTGCCTCCAATACGAGCTTTCGTGAAGACCATACGGAGAGTTTTTGTGATAGACGGGGCGCAAATGGGAAGAGAAAAGATGCATCCAATATGAGTTTCCGTGACGACCATACGGAGAGTTCGAGCATAAGCATAGATGAGTTGCTTGCACGACCTCCTCCTCCCCCTCCATTTTCGCTCCTTTCGACTCAGGAGATTGCAAAACCAATTGTGACAGCCGACGTACCTAGTCGAGTACCTAAAAAACTAAACACGAGTTCTTTAAGAGTTTTCACGATCGCGTCGCTTCAGCAGTATACTAATAGTTTCTCTGAAGATAATCTTCTTGGGAAAGGCATGCTTGGTAGTGTCTATAGAGCTGAACTACCAAATGGAAGGGTAAGATAATTTAATCACTTTGACTTGCAGCAAAATTTGTCAAAATCGTGTTTACTTTTCGTGTTTTCTTCAGCTTTTGGCCGTTAAAAAACTGGATGGATCCTCTTTGACTCGTTGGAACGACGATGAATTTCACAACCTCGTGTCTGATATATGCGAAATTCGGCACGATAACATTGTGGAGCTTAAGGGCTATTGTGCTGAGCATGGACAATACCTACTCATTTACGAGTATTGCGAAAATGGCACACTCTATGAAGCACTCCACGTCGACAAGGAGATGCATCAAATGCTTTCGTGGAACGTGCGCGTGAGGATTGCACTTGGAGCTGCACGTGCCCTCGAGTAAGTCCATGAAGAACCCTGTTCGCTAAACCGATTTTTAAGATATTGAGTTATCTTCTTCTGTTGTGAGACAGGTATCTACATGAGGCCTGTCAGCCGCCAATTGTGCACCAAAATTTTAAGTCTGCTAACATTCTCCTGGACAATGAGCTAAAAGCACAGCTCTCTGACTCTGGCCTAGCTTCACTGCTTGATAATCAGGTACTTATCTATTAATTTGAGCATATAGTTGAAATGCCCGTTTAAACGTTCGTTACTAACACGAATTTTATCGCTTAGTCGTCTGTACGATTCCTCCCAACTCATGGTTATAGTGCTCCGGAATTTGAGTCGGGAACTTACACGTACCAAAGCGATGTTTTTAGCTTTGGAGTTGTAATGCTAGAGCTTCTCACTGGTCGGAAGTCGTGTGATCGGTATGCGATTCTTAGATCAATCTCGACCTAGCCCCCGCCATCTTATCAATATAGCTATCTTATTTATGTTCTTACTTGATTGTGAAACTCTAGAACACTGCCTCGAGGAGAGCAATATCTTGTTCGTTGGGCTATTCCAAGGCTACATGATATTGATGCGTTATCGAGAATGGTCGATCCATCTCTTAAGGGCACATATCCTATTAAGTCGTTATCTCGCTTCGCCGATATTATTTCGTCTTGTGTAATGGTAAAAGTTTTATCAACTTTTGGTTCATTTCAAGCTAAAGTAAATATTTGGTTCTACTTACTGATGTTTTCGGGCAACCGTTTGGCAGAGAGAGCCCGAATTTCGACCCCCGATCTCGGAAATTGTACAGGAACTCTTACAAATGGTGTAGAAGAAAGGCAGAAATTGAAATGGGTAGAAGATCCGACAAAATGTTCATGGTACCAAAATGTTTGAGGAGGCATGTTTTTAATTGTTTTAATCATTGTTTCATGTGTATTACTCATTGATTAGTTTGTTGTCGTTGTAAAATGATGTTTATATGCTTACCTATATTCTTTAGGTTTATACCTCCATTTATTTATTTATTCTTTTATCGTGCGATATGATATCTAGAAACTCATAACTCCCATCGATCGCAACCAATAGCTTGACCTGTTAAGAGTGAAGGATGAGTAAACCGTGAGGAAAATCTTCACAGACCAAGATTAGCTAATCATTCCATTGATAATGCGTGCACTGATTGATACAGGGTTAGTGTGCCGGTTTTCCGAATGGGGTCTTCTCATTAATCAGGGATATACTTGCTTGGTATCCACATTAGCTCGGGGAGGAATATCTTCAGCAAATGTCGAGTTGGTGCGAAAGTCAATCTCCACAGGAGCATAAACAAAACGAGCAGGGCTAGTAGTAGATTCAGGATCAGTACCCTTCTCAGTTCTATATCTAGCTGGAGCAACAAAAACGAAGGTTGAAGCAACACTAGAGACAGGTGTGAACATATGATCCACTAGTAGCGACTTAGTAAGTTGCATACCTTCTTGCAATCGCTTCGTTTTTGGAGCACTTAATTAAGCATTTGATGGTCGCATTAATTCTTTTAATTTTAAAAATTGTGAATTAATTGTTATCTTTTTATTATATATTTAAAAAAACAGCTCTAAAATGACAGATGGATACATCAAAATTAAAAACCAAGCATGGAAATTAAATTCGTACATAATATAACTTATAATTAATTTATATATCAGTCTAGTAAAGCTGCTAATTATAGATATAATTTTTCCGGCTACCGGCGGCCGTGTCAAAGAAAAACACTCAGAAGCCACCGCCACTACCGCCCCTCTCTAACAATAGCCAATACATTTCTTAGAGCAGTCGATGGTGCAGCCACCGCCGCCGCCGCCGCCTCCGAATCCCTTGCCTGATCGGCTATAAGAGGAGAAGCACTTGGCCGGACAAGTCACCTTCTTATTGTAACAAGGACCTCTCTCCTTACACAGCACAGTGTTCCTTATGATTCCACCCTTGCCGTAACCGCCTTTGGGTCCGCCGTAGCCACCGCCGTATCCACCACCGACGATGCCCTTGTCCCAGCCTTTCCGAAAGCCGGGTATGTCATCAAATCCACCGCCGGGTTCGAACACCCCGGCGGCGAGAGAGGCGGAGGGGGAGAGGAGGAGAATGGCGAGGAGAAGAGCGGAAATGGGGAGGGAGGGATTCATGGTTGTTTGGGATTGGAGAAATGTAGAAATTGAATTTATAGAAGATGGTATTGATGGGGCAGTTGGGTATTCATTTATGAATTCAGCTACGTCGTTCGTTATCACGTCGAAATACACGACTTATGTTTTTTTATCAGACTACACTGGTCGATTTTCGATCAAGTTATGAGCACGAGTAGGTAGACGACTAGAGAGAGTTAGTAGTTTGCCACTGGATCCTTTCGAACCCGAAGAACGTGGGACACTCGATGCAGACAAATGGTGGGTGACTTTCAAATAATTAATTTTTATTTTTAATGTAACAATAAAATAGGTGGGAAGTTCATTTATTAATATGTATTCTTCAAAATCCAAATATTTGAATTATAAGAGAAATTGTTCCTTAAAAAAAATAAAAATAATTATGAAATTCATATTTAATTATATGATAATTTAATCGAATTAAGCACCTAAGGGAAAATATGAAATTAATTTGAGAATTAAAAGCTAAACATAAATATTTAATTAATAATATTATTTTTTTATTGGCTAATCGACAAATTAAGACTTTAATTATAATTAATTTTTTCATCTTCTATCAACCACTGATTACGACATTTGCTTCCCTCATTTAAGACATGAGCTGTATAAGCTTTTCTCCTTTTTTATTTTTCATCAAATTAATAGTTTAAATGTTTGACTTTTTTTTATATTTTCATTTATGAGCATGCCTTCATTTTTATTTTATTTATTTTAATTAAATAAAATATATTAGAAAATAAGTGAAATTGGACTTGGGCTGGAGGCCCACAAAATCGGCCCACAAAAGCGGCCCAGCACTGTGTTTTCTGAAGCGTATATTGGATAAAACATGGAATCTTCGAGTGTCGGAGTGTGGTGGTGGGACAGAGCAGCGCTGTCAGCCATGGCGCGTAATTCACCAGCTTTGTCTCATTTCGCCATGTGAAGAACCATTTTATTTTATTTATTTATTTATTTATTATTATTATTATTATTTTTAAATAATAATTTTGCTTTATTCTGTCCCCTTTTCTCCTCTCGATATAAATCTCTGCATTTTCTACCACAGCTTACTTAAGTCATTCAATCTGTCTCGCCGGCTAAACTTTCTCGGTGAAGAACCGGTTCGGTTTCAAGTAGAGATGGGCGGTTCCAGAAGCGACGACATCAGTGGCGCCACGTACTCTCCCAGGAGTTCTGGCCGTCCGATTCCGAAGCGGGGACAGGTCAAATTGGGGATTATGGTGGGTCTTGCCCACTCCGTTGCTTCCATTTTCTCGCCTACAACCCGGCCAGCGGCGGCTCACAGACTGAGCCGCCCGGCCCGGCCCGCTTTTTGTTACTCTAATGGAAGGGAAAGACCGGATTTTGGTTTGTTTTGTAAAAATCAAGAGTTCTTTTTTTTTTTTTTTTAAATTAATGGAAAATGGAGATTTTGTTCTCTATTTATAATTTTGTGCTCTTCTTCTCTTAGTTTTAATCTTCTTTTTTTAGTATAATACATTTTTCAATATGGGATAAAGAATTTGTGACAACACATTAGCATATATCAACATTTATATTATATGGAATAAATGTCATGAAACATAAAAAATAAAATACAATAAAGTATTATTATACGAATAATTAAAAATATACATTTTTTAAAAGTGGACATTGAGCGTATATTATTTAATATACTTTTTTGTCACATTGTGATCGAGATATTATCAATTTTATTAATGAATGCACGAAAGAAATAGATAATTTAACTCTTTATTAAAATGAATTCATTAGAATTTTGAATTAAATCTACTAATAATAAAATTAATAATTTTGTGTTAATCAATATTAAAAAAAATAAAATAAATTAAAAGGGATAGGGGGAAATTGATAAGCACGATCCACCCATATAAAAACCAAATCTATCTGTATATATCTTATTTTTTAAATACAAGATCTGAAATATATATATTTATAACAATACATTGAACCAACAACACTTTATAAAATTTGGACACTAAGATTCAATGTCTGATTTTTGTCGTGTAATAATATAAATTAATTATTTGCAACTTGGTAATGTTTGTGTGTTATTATTGGCTTCAATTCTATCCTTAAAACCATAGGTTTATGTATCAATTTTTGGCCTTTTTCTTTTATCGATATTAGTGGGTGTGACATGCATTCCTTTAATTATAATGTTTTAATATGTCTTATAGCAAACTTGCTTTTACATTATTATAATAATTATTATTATGATAGTGATACAACTTGGATAAGATTAAGTGAATCGGAGCACCACAAAAATGGATAAAACGCCACCGTTAGTGGCGGGGCAGCCTTTTAGCTAGTGGAGGCCATATGAGCACGTTTTTTTTTTCTTTTTTTGTTTTTTTTTTCCTACCAGATTTTTCATGTGATAAATGATTTCATTTTTTTTTTATTATGTTTAATGCCACATCATCAGATTCTCAATGTGAAAACTCTAAATTACCCTTCACTCCTTACACAAGTCTATCTGATGCCACTTCACTAGTCACCTTTTACTATTCAATTCCTTGCGGTTCAAGGGTTCGAGTCAAAGGTTCAGCCTAATTACTTTTTTTATTTATTTTTAAATAAAAGCTTGATGGTCAAGTAAACGCTTAAATTTGAATTTTTGTTCAAAGTCAAAATATTATTATTATTATTATTATTATTATTATTTTATTGTTATCTATGGATTTGACAGCTGGCATCACTGGCTGTGGGTATACCAAAGAGAAAAGGTCAAATTCGTAAATTAGGTTTAAGTTGGATTGATTTTGAAAATTTTGAGAAGAAGAAAGCAAGACGTCAGTTAGGCAGGTAGGGACTAAATCGTCAATTTCCACTGGGGGGCATTTCCGTCATTTTGTCTTCTGGTTTTGTGTGTGTATATATATATGTATATGTATAGCAGATTCGAAGCATAACAAGCTCTTCTTCTTCTTCTTCTTCTTCTTCTCTGTAAATCAGAAACTTCAGTTACAGAGATGGCCGGAAGCAGAATCAAGGCGATCAACGGTGGAGATTTGTCGAGGAAGTATTCTGACCGTTTGATACCAAAAAGGGGACAGGTGACAATGGGGATTCTGGCGGGAATTGCTCACTCCGTGACTTCGATGTTCTCTCACGGCGGTCGGAAATGAGGGGTTAATCGGGAGCGTTGATTGGTTTTTGAAATCGACGGTTCTGATTTTCCGAGTGTGAGCGGTTCAAATTTTAACGAACGTCACAGATAAGACGCTATGATCTTCCGAATTGGTAATTGAAAGATGAGGAAGAAACTGAGACCCTTTTCCATGGCGTCCATCAATTTGTGTATACGTGTGTTTTTTTTTTTTTTTTTTTTTTAAATTGTTAATTNTTTTTTTTTTTTTTTTTTTTTTTAAATTGTTAATTAGAGGATTTATGGAGTGAGGTGTGTTTAAATTAGCATGCTTAATTCACTGTAAAATAATATTATTATTATTGTTATTATATTCAATTGAAATTTTATAAATTCTCAAACAATTAATCCAAATTTATTATACACAAAAAATGAAAATCTAATTTTAACTACATATAAAAATTATATTTATAATTAATAGATTAAATATATTTTTTTTAAAAGTAAACCTATAAATAGCTTATTAAATAAATAGAAACGGTAGTTTTTTTTAAAATAATTTACTTATTAAATAAATTCACAAAATAAAAGGTTTAAGAATTTATTTAAGAAAAATTATCAGAACATAGTAATTTAACAATAATAGGATTTTACAATTTTGAGAAAACCGAAATAATAATTATGAAGCAAATTTCCTTTAAAAAAGAAATACTTAAGCATGATCCACGTATTTTTATATCAATAAATGAATTATATAATATAATATAAAATGATTCAATAAATAAAATACATGAACCTCCGCCATTCCAATTGCGCAACCACAGTACCCGGCGGCGGTGCCTCATTTAGTAAATTAATAAAGAAATAAAACCGGCGGCTGGTATTGCCGGGAGAGGTGCCATGTGGTTCAGGTAAAGCGAACAAAATGCCAGCGTGTCCCCTTAGGTGTGGGTCAGGGGAGCCTCCACCTGCCAGATTCTTTATTTATTTATTGTTAGTGGAAGCCATTAAACACGTTTTTCTTTTAAAGTTTTGGTCAAAATGGATTCAAAAGCACAAAACCCCAAAAACTTTCTTAGTAAATCAATCAAATCATTCTTTTATGAACTACTACATGATTCTTCTTTATCCTGTTCTTACGGTCGAATCCCATTCTTTTCCTGAAAAACCCAAAACACCCTTGGCTTTTACAAAATGTCCCCCCTAAGCCAGTCTGATCCGGGTGGAGAGAATGGTAATTTCACACATATATAAAAATCCAAAACACAGCTGTTGTGCAAAAGCCAAGACTACCTACAAACAGATTTTAAAAAGAGGGTATTACAGAGTGCGTAGCAAGCAAGTTCATCCATCAGTAAAGGAAAATGCTTATCTACAAATAATTTTGGGTCTATAAATAAACCCATCTCATGGAGGCTTTTGAGTATCCAAAACTTCATCAACAAGAACAAACCATCTCTCTGTTTATAGAAGAAATTTGCAGTGATGGGTGAAGAGGGTAGGGTGATGAACAACGGCGGTCGGAGAGTTTCTGGGCGTCTGATCCCGAAGAGAGGGCAAGTGAAGATGGGGATCATGGTGGGGTTGGCTCAAACTCTCACCTCTATCTTTGTAAGTCAGAAAGACAACAGTAGCAACAACAATAACATTGTACATAACAGAAACATGTTGTAATTTTGAGGTCGAAGAGATTAAGGTTGTAAATTTGTAGTAGTGATATCAACATCAGTTTATTGCTTTTTCAACTTTTCTCCAAAACTGAAAGAATTCAAGAACATGAGTAAAAGAAAAGAAAACTCTAAATTTTGTTGGGTTTAACCAATCCGGGAGTTGTCTCTGCCGAAAACAAGAGTGGTACCCCAATTGACAGCCACATAAAACCTGTTTCTCCAGCTGATTACACGAGTCAGATATGCAGATCGCCATATGAACCAACTCAGGAAGCCTGCAAGTGATATGCCTCTTGCATCCTATTAATACCCAACAACACCCACAAATCAATTCATCATCCACAAACATTCTTGTTTAAATCAAGAAGAATCAAGCAAGAATGGTTTTAACCTTGGACTGGCGTAGATCGACAAGAGCCTTGTAACGCCCGACTGTTGCCATGCTTCCCAGATGCTTATACACAAAAGGGTCACCCAAAGGCATGTCCTTTGCACTCCAAGCCTTGCCTCCGTTCTGTTTTCCAATTCTGTCGAATAGTTCTACAAGATACTTTCCTTCCCTTTCTGCAACCTGTTTAACCCAGAAATTCCATTAACTTTGTGATGATGAGGTATAAATAAAACAAGTGTTTTTGCTGCATACCTGAGCTAGAGCAGGAAGAACTGGTTTTCCTGTTTGTTCAAGAAAACCAGCGCAATCCCCAACTGCAAAAACATCTTCCACTGATGGAACTCGCATCCATCCATCCACGCCAATCCTGTTGCATTTAACATTATAAAGCTTTTACTGAAAACTATTGTAGACAGTGGTATAAAGAAACGAACCAGCATAATCGCATAAGTCTACCCTTAGACAGGTCTACCCTTAGCAAATATTGTCTAGCACCTCACGGTTTTAAAACGCATCTCCAACTAATGTGGAATCTTACAATCCACCTCCTTGGAGGTCAGGTTTTTGCTGGTACACTGGGCGGCTTTAATACTATTTGTAACTACCTAAGACCATCACTAGCAAATATTGTCCGCTTTAGCTCGTTATGTATTGTCGTTAACCTCATGATTTTAAAACGTGTCTATTAAGAAGAGGTTTCCACCCCTTGTTAGGAATGTTTCGTTTTCCTCTCCAACCAACGTGGGATTACACAAAAGGTCTTAGAAGAGACGAGAAGACGGGGGCTTGTGGGATCTTCAGCTTATAGATAGATACCTTCCGCCAGGGGCCTTTGGAAGATCGAGTGATTTCACAAATTCAGAGGGACCAACGCCCGTAGACCATACCAAGAGCCCATATGGAACATCAGTGCCATCACTGAGAACTATCTTCGCAGGAAGAACTTCCTTTACAACACCCCGCATCAGGCGAACGCCAGACTGATGAACAAAACAAAAATTTTATTAAACAGACAGATTCTAAGCAGAAAACTTGTCGGAGAGCTGATGCTGACTGTACTACCTTGGTCAAGTGCTTTGTTGCATATGTTTGCAGCCCGAAGTCAAAAGAAGACAGAATCTCATTTGCCTGTTTGTGAAAAGAAGTGTCAAAGAAGTGTCAAAGCCTACAAATATTGTATCTTCTTAACAATGTTTTGTACCTCAATTAGTGTAACTTTAATGTCATCTTTAATATGAGCAT